GTGTGTTTTTTTTTTTTTTTAAAAGCTCCAGTCGGCTGGTTGAATTCCGAGGAGCTTTGCGCTAAGCTAATTGGTTCAGACTAATGCATTATGCAGTGTGAGAGAAACCCTGTATGACCAACACTATATAGTCACTGGACTGTGAAATGCAATCTTGAGCTGGAAGATATACTGGCAGACACATGTTCTGCACAACCACTAATGACCTACTTGTGAAGTGTCAATGTCAAACGCTCACGCTAGGTGAATGCTAGGTGCTGGATTCTGGCTCAAACATCACACTGCATCAGCTGAAACCCCGAGTGATTTATCAGTGTGATGAACGCACAGACTGAAGTGCAGGCTAACACTCAGGTCACTAGTGTCTACAGCAGAGCGTCCCAAACTTTCACTGGCAATCGCAACCTTGACTGGCTTTAGGAAATGTAATGTGTTCCTGCTAAAATGATGTGCCAAACCTGTTTAATATTATAGCACCTGTACTGACTAAAAAAATGTATTTTTTGTTTTGGTATACGTTTTCTGCTTCAACCTTTACGCGATGATTGAACAGAAGAGTCACGGCTAGAGTGACGTAGCAGTGAGATGCTAATAACAGCGGCCATTGCTACTTGTCATGGTAATGTTGCTAACCGACGTTGCCAGTCGTACTTGTTGCCTAGCGTAAAGCAACACTCACTTATGAATGTCTCTACTTCTCTTTCATCTTCTATGTATTTTATTTTTTTCAACCAGCTAAAAGTAGGTAGCGTAGCATTGCTAGCTACTTATCTTCTGAATGTTATAAGACACTCATGCTCCAATCGTTGGTGTCCACAAAAAAGATGAGTGAAATGAAAGATATTTTCTTTGATTTAAAGTAAATTCAAAACTTTATTTGTATTTTTTTTTTATACATTTGTTCAGATGTATTGTTAAGAGTAGCAAAATGTTTCTATTGCTACACTAAGTATACATTAGTAGGACCACTACAAAAAAAACTTGAAAATGACACTGCATATACTGCATAGATTCTTGATGTAAATAAGCTCTTAACTTCTAATCTTTCTGTTCCAGTTTTTCGACCCGGGGGAAGTGCTGTACGCCTACGACAGCCCTGCAGGTTACGGGCTGATGGGCCTCCAGCTGCTGGCCTACGTTTGGTTCTGCTATGCAGTACTCGTCTCAATGAAACACTACCCGGAAAAACAGCCCTTCTACATCCCCTTCTTCACCGCATACACACTATGGTGAGTACTGCACTGACCCACTTCTCTGATCATTCACTCTGAGCTGCTGTGAATCATAGCACCTGGACCTGAGAGCACAGAGAGTATTAAAATATAATTCATCTCGAAACGGTTTAAAATGGTTACATTTATTAAATTGTTCGATAAAAAAATATAATCGCCTTTCAGATAGCAGCATTAAAGTAGCTTCAACATTTTAGGGACCAATACTATCTCAGTTTCTATTACAGCTACAGCTACTTCCTGAGTTCTGAACACCTGTCCTGCTTTATTTACTGTATCTCTCTGTGCTCTCAACCCATTTTTCCTGAGTTTACGAGAACTCCCTCGGTGCATTGATATTGCTACGATTCAAATGATTTTTTACAGTGTGCCGCTTTTTGTTTCACAAACTCTTTGAAATTGTTGCTGATTTTTTTTTTTTTTTATAAAAATGTGCATGTACATACATGTTTTTATTTTACAAAAATAGATAATAGGGATATTATATTGGTCTGGAATGAGAAAAGAGAGATAGGAATATTTACTATTCCACATTTATGTAACCTCACAAGCATTAGTTTTCACTAATGAAGTGAGGGAGAATGGAGGAATATGGTGATCAAAAAGTGTCTCTGATGCTAGGTCTACTCTTTAAATGTTATTGTTATGTTTACTGTTATGTATATATATATATATATGTGTATATATATGTATGTATGTATATGTATATATGTATGTATATACTGTATATATGTATATATGTATGTATATATGTGTATATGAGAGTATATATATACACATATATGTATATAGGGGCGGCCCCGGGAGACATACTTGGTCGACGTTTGGTCGAAACTTGGTCGACGGGTCTCCGGACTGGATCTTAACCCCGGGAGACCCACTTGGTAGACATTTGGTCGAAACTTGGTCTTCCATATATATGTATATATGTATATACATATATATAGGGGAAATTTGCGTTTTGTGCGGGAAAAAATAAATTTCTGCATGAGACTGCTTTGTAACGGGACTGGTTATAACAGTTTTTGAAATCACCTTATATTGGATCAGTGTTATGTGACAATTTGTCGGTCAATTGATGTTGATCCATAAGGGTTCTTAAAAGATCGACTATTGCTTTTTGTTGATGCAGTCTAAAGTCTACCAAACATCCTCGGATGACAAAAACAAAAACAAAAACAAGAGTGGGTTTTTATTTGCATATATAGCGTTCTTGATGAGCAAGCTGTACGTTGGAGATGCGCTTTAAATAAATAAAAAGAGGTGTTTATTAAGATTGATCCCATACTCAAATGAGAGACAATTAGGGAGCGATACCCGTTCCGCTGATTCATACAAACACAGACGGTCATTTATTATTTCGTTTGTCATATGGATAAAGCAGTCGTAATTCTTTGTTGCTCTGCTTTGTTTTTTCTACCGAATGAAAACACTAGAATGTCTTCCGTGCGTCATCATTAAAGTCAGACAACAACTGCAAGCAATATGTGTCTGTGT